TGTTGTCTACATTTAATGCACGAAATAAACTTTCGTTGAAATTTTCCTTTTTTCTAAAATCAATGGATTTTGAACTCACTTTCACGCAAAAGCGTTCTCAGTATGGCAGGCTAAGTGTAAAATACTTTAAACGGATCATTGTTGACGATAACCGGTGATAAGCGCAGTAAAACGGAAAGCAGCTCAAAGTGACAGTGAAACAAAGCTTTGGAACTTTCGACGGAAGCGTCGGATTAATTGCAGCTTTCAGGGCTATTTTCCAGTACAAATCCTGCTACTCATCGTAGCATTTGGCGAAAGTGCTATTGAAAGTGAATTAGCTTTAATAAATTGAAAGGCCATCGTATAACATTGGTTGCTGGTGCGTATGAGTAATATCTTTTGTTTAATTTTGTTAGATAATATTTAAGTATGTATAAACGAATGCTTTTTTCGCTACTCTGAAAAAGAGTTTAAATGCTTAGGTTTACGAAAAAAGCGTAAAATAATTTTTGTACTTTTTACTAAATTTATGAAACGTTAAGTGGATGGCGAGGAGTCGCTGGTGTAAATTGGCGGTAAGATTTTTCACGGATGAATTTGAAGTTGGTTGGAGGGGAAATTTACGTAAGAAGCTCTGCATAAATCTTAGCGTAAAGCTTCTGGATGCAGTGTTTATCAGCCCGAACTGGTTGCTGTTAAGGTGGTAGTAGACGTACTTGCGCCTTGACGTGCTGCCAGTTGTTATTGTCGCAGCGGCATATAACATTCCTGAAGTAATTTCGAGGCTGGTACTGAGTTGACAATCCTTAGCCAAATAAAAAAATCCGGGTCCGTCCCTGTTACGTAGACCCGACTGTCTTTCAGGGAGGTGAGCATTCACTCCGGCAGCGCTTAAATTCGCTTACTATGCTTAAACGTTACAAAGTGTCTGTCTTCATTGGAAGTAGCATCAAACTACTTCATACTTAGATTATATCGGTTGGGTGCCCGATCAGAGCGGATCCGCTGATAACTCTAAAGCCGATAAGCTGGTCAGAGCGAGTACCCTTGCACCGCTCGCACTGGAATGGGCTTAATGGTCGTTCTAGTATAATAGTTTCAATCGGACCCACTCCAATAGATATTCATGGAGTAAGTGTTGGACACACTTTGTATGAAGGAGGGTGAGATGGCGTCATTCAGGCACTTTTCTCCTTCATTGTTCAGCCTTTGCAAATTGCCTCACAGGGTTTTGTCGATTTATGACAGTCTTAGGATTAAATATATAGAAGTTCTAGGTATCAAAGCTCACTGTTACGGATTACCTAATCTTAAAACCTCATACATTCGTTTTAACATTCACTTGAGTATTCCATAAGAGTTGAAAATTTAATTTATTTTTAAGTATTTCTGAAAAAAATTGATAAAATTTTCATTTTACAAATTCAGTTCTCCTGCATTTATAATACCAAATGAAATTTGTGAGAACGACGCAGGTGACAGTGCAAATGCAACACTGTCATACGTGTGGAATCACGTGACAAAAGCAGAATATATCTATAAATATTGTATGAGCAAGTGTGTATGAAATCTGAGAAGGTGGCAAGGCAAATTATGTGTCAAATAAAGTAAAATTGCATGAAGCAGTAGCAAAAAAGTGAAGAATCCACAAAATCACACACATACTATGTATATACAGACACACACATGTGTCGATGACGTTGCAGAAGCGCGGCACGAACATTAAATAACCAACAGTCAACGCTGCTCAGCTGAGCGACTATCACATTTCCCCACATTCAAATGACACAAACTGGCAATAATATCAAAAGTGGTCCGAAAATAAAAAAGAAAAAACGAGCGTCAAGGCGAAACGCAACGGTGAAGCGAGCAACCAAAAACGAGTGAAATGCGATGATTGCGCAAAGTGATTTGAATGGCAGGAAATGCTGCAACAACAACACCAATAGTGCGGCGTGTGGGGTTAGCGGGCGGACCGAGTGAATAGTAAAAATATTATGCAAACGTGTAAAAGGATTTGTGAGTGAATTGAAATTTGGAGGACAAAAAAGTCAACGAGTATTAAGCACTTTGGAAATAGGTGTGTGTGTGTGGGTGTGTGTGTGTGTCGGCATGAAAGTGTCATTTTGATATAGCAAATTCATATGAAACTGTCAAAATATCATAACATAAATTAATTCTGATGTGTCACACAAGTCATGACAGCTGGCGGTGTTTTGGCAACCGAACGACGAAACGAAGCCCGTCATTTACGCGGTAACTTTGTGCCGAAAAAAATTATGCATATGTGGTGGCACACACATATACAATATACACACAAGTTGGCAGTGCATTGGAGGTAAGAGCCTGACATTCGCCAATGTGAATCCGAGTATCGAGTTGCATAATTATTCTATAGTGAAGGAGACAGGAAAACGAACTTCATATTTTTTATACTTAAATTTAGAAGCGACTACTGTAAGACACCATGGTTATACAATTTATCAGAGCCCAAAAAGCAGCACGAATCAACTGCTTCAAAATGTGGCTTTAAAGTGTGTCCGTTATCCAAAGGGCAATGAACAAACAGTTTCATACCGGACATTCATTCGAGGATAGGCAAACCACAAGGTCACTTGGATTTACGCCTGACACTACTACTAAGTTAACATGAGTGCTTTAAAAGCGAAACGAAACGAAACAAAATAGTAGAAAGTTTATTATCAAGGGCAATTCGAAAAGAATAAAATAGATTTTCTTTCTTTAGAATGAGCAGTGGGAAGAAATTTTCCTCGAATGAAGAGCTAATCGCCGACACTGACTCCTATGTTGAAGCAAAGGGCAAGTCGTACTACAAGAATGATATAAAGAAGTTGGATGGTAGCTCTTATTAGTGTATCCTTGAAGAAAAATGTGAAGAAAAAAACGAATTTTGCCAAAAACTGTGTTTTCATATGGTAGACTGGGGACTTTTCTATTGGCCTGATGAAAGTCAGTGAAAGTAAAATATTTTTTCAAAGCTTTTTCCTTATTTTTGAATTTAACGAAAATAAGGTTATTTTCCATTCTTCTGAGTTTTATGATTTTTTTATTTTGTATTAAATTTAATTTTTTATCTATCATCCTAAGGTTTTTTGTCTATTTGTCGTATGTCGCATGCCGCATTACATCTCTATATAAAGCCACCCTAGCCACAGCGTTTCTCTGTGACAAATTGGTGCCTTAATTTAGTACTTAGTTATGATACTTTATACGTTTTCGGTTAACCAAACGCCAAGTTTCATCAAGATATATTAATTTTTACTCAAGTTACAGCTTGTACAAATGGACGGACGGAGAGACCCATATTTCAACTCGTCTCGTCGTCCTGTTCATTTATTTATATGTATTTAACCTTATATCTTGGATATGGTCAGACGAAAGTATGCCCGACGATTGCAAGTGAAGTGTACTCTGCCCAATCCATAAAGAAGAGAAACCTCAAGACCCCACTACCCTGAGATAAGCCTCATAAAAACCGCATATAAAGTCCTATCGAGCGTACTGTATGAAAGAGTAAAATCCTCCGTCAACAAACTGATTGGACCTTATCAGTGTGGCTTTGGACTTGGAAAATCAACAACCGACCAGATATTCACCACGCGATAAATTTTGTAAAATACCCTTGAAAAGAGAATCAAGGTGTCTCTATGCCGCGATGTCTGAATTTGATATCTCCGCAAAACTAATACTACTACTAGACGCTCGGTCACTATTTCCCTTCCAGCTTCGAAAATATTTTGAATTTCCATCTAAAACTTTAGGAAAATAATGAAAGATCATTATTTCTAAAGAGATTTAAGCAAAATAAAAAACCTATTTTTTTAAGCTTCTAAAGCAGGCTCCCCCCTTAAGTGACAGCGGCTGACGTTCGAATGGATTAAAACTCTCTAGCTGTGAAAGAAATTGATGAATGCGATTAAAAAATAACTCATTGTATGGAGAACCACAGCGTCTTTCAATAGGAATGACGTGTCCAGTAAAGCTTGACATTTCTTCATGCCAAATTGGTCCAACGGTTGGAAATCGTTCAAGATCGATCAGTTTGTCTTTGATAGGGATGACGTGATGTGTATAGCTCGCCACTATGTGCACTTTGTAATGAGGCCCATTGGGGTCCCTATTTACAATATAACCGTGCGCCGATTTCAAGAAATGCCTAGCTCAAATGGCCATCAAGTTGCGATTCTACAACTCTAGTTTATTTTCTCTGGAGGTAAGTTAAATCAAAGATTTACGCTAAACAAACAATAACGGTTAAGAAGCTTGAAGACAACAATAAGCTCACTATAGCTAAAATTCCAACCGAAACGCTGCAACGCGTATTCAATGCAAAATTGGCGTAAACGGGAAATATGCAAATGGAGTCGAGGTGAGCATTTGGCCGACATTTTGTTCAAAACATAAATGGCATAAAATTAACTCAAAAATACAATAAATGCAAGCTGTAAACAGTTTCATTTTCAACGTGGTTTCATTAAAGCCACGCACTCTTGTTTTTGCCACGCCATTTTGTTTGTTGCTGCTTCGTAAAACGCTCTTTTCATGAACACTCGCTCGTAAATTTCATTGGCCAACTTTCTAATTCAAACTATTATGAGTTTATTATTAATAAATACGTGTTATATTAATTTCATATTAATAGTTTCAATTTAATAAATCAGATTAAGAGATTTTCACGCATCAAAGCTTAAAACCCAATTTACTGAATTAATAATTTTGAAAATATGAAAGTTTTATTAGAAAATAATTTACCCAAAACACATTGTAAACTATTAGATAATTATCTGAACTAACGTGCACGTGATTAGAATAAAAAAAAAAACACCAACAATAACAAGAATAGTAATCAATTAAAAAATCATTACACAAATAATACCATTAGCGCAGCAATTACACGCATAATTACGATTACTTGCAATTTTTGTCAAAAACTGTTTGTTCAACTCACTCATTCAGAAAGCTGCTTTCACTTCGTTTTCGCCTCGCAATGCTTGATAATGGGCTACAAAGTGATACTGCTGCTCATTGCCGACTCGCTGATCTACGCGCAAGTACTTGACTATTCACTATTCTTCACACATAACGGTGATTTATATCGAGCCAAATAGCGTAACTTGCATTTGTTTGCAGGTGCATGGCTGGATCGTTTATAAGACGACGAAGATCGAGTGTTTTCCCAATGCCCGTTATATACGGAACGCCACCTGCGGCATCAAGGCGATCAATCGCTATCGTGCGCACACGAATATGGAGAGCGACATCGTCGATCGGCTGCGCAATGTGTCGGTAAGTGGGCGTACATACACTCCTTAGTATGTACACTAATAATATTTCTTTGCATGAAAAGCTCAATCTGCAAATTTTCCAACGCAACAGCGCCAATCGCTTTAAGCCGTTTCTCGTCAATGTCACGGCCAATTTATGTAGCATTTTGGACAAGCGCAACTTCCCAGCTTACACGAAAATTGTCATGAACATACTCAAGGAGGTGTCGAATGTGAATCATAGCTGTCCGTTTACGGTGAGTTTTTAGTGAGAATTTAGTAAACATTATTTTTTTTTATACGCTGATAGGGTAGATAGGGTGCCACTAACTTTTTACTAGATGGTAGTAAACGTCAGTAGCCCTAGAAAGTGTATACTATATACAAATGATCAGCATGACCAGCAGGGTCGATTTAACCATACGAGTGTGCATAACCCTTTAACCGTCTGTTCCTTCGTCTGTATATACGCGACGAACGCGAAGGTTCAGCTAGTAGTCAGAGATATCTGAACTTTGATACACGTCACTTTCTCATCAAGAAGCTGCTCATTAGCCCGAACCGCTGATATCGAGCCGGTGTGTATAACATCTTACTTCTTACCAAAGAGTGATCTATTACGAGGTTCTCTATTTTTTTTTTAAGAAAAAAAGATAAACTTAAAATTTAATGGGGAATAGTTATTATCATTCGAAAGAACATTCTCTTTCATTTATATTTTGAAGATTATCTCTTTTAAATGTTGGCCGCGGGTATGTTTCAAATGATCCACCTGTTGAGTCCAATTTTCGATGACTCCTTCGAAACTGACGAATGACATGAGTGATGTTTTGGTTCAAGGCCTGAATAGAAGCGCGAATGTCCGCGTAGACTTTAGACTTTACATATTCCTATAGGAATAAGTTTAACGACGAGATATCACACCATCTTAGTGGCCAATCAACCAGCGCCAAACGTGAAATTATCTGCTCACCGAAGTTTTTTTTCTCAATAAATCCATAGGTTGATGCAATGTGTTGGAAGTGACGACGTCTTGTTGAAACCAAATGTCGCCGAGTTCACGAGCTTCAATTTCAGGCATCAAATATTCGGTTATCCTGGCGCGATAATGGTCGCCATTGACGGTTACGTTCTCACCGTCATCATTTTTGAATAAATATGGACCGATGATTTCAACGGCTCACAAACCACACCAAACTGTTGATTTTCTGGATACATTTTTCCAAATGCGAAAATTTTGCTTATTTACATACCAATTGAGCCAGAAATGAGCTTCACGCTAAACAAAATTTGCCTCGGAAACGTCGGATCTTCTTGGAGAGCCCAATGAGCGAAACGATGTTACTTGGGGACGGCCGAGCGGTTCCGTTCTCGCACAAGTTATATTTTGCACGCTTTCAATTTAAGACCTCCATGTAAAGTGTACCAAGTCGTTCCACACGTCAGTTCGGACTACTGAAAAAGATAACTTGACTGCTTGCAACTACACACGCGTGATTTGTCAAAAAAGTCTATTGAAAAGCGTACTTCTATTTAGAATACACGTTACATTTATTTATTACTAAAATTTTGTATTTATTTATTTAAAATTTTCTTTACTTTTTTTTTTACAAATTATTTTAAATTATCTTCATCACTTAAATTTGTTCCATCAACTACTCCTTTCATCAGCAGAAGCGTCTGATTGTTAAAAACCTGTATGTGGACGAAAAATTTATGCCGATTGTGCCGCCATTGGGACTCTATAAGATTGACTTTCATTTTCTTGAAGGTTATCCCTATGATGATATAGGCACTGTCATTCTCTATATACAAGTGACTGATGTTAAAGAGTTTAAATCTCGTACGGAAGCGCCTAAAGTGCAAGGCCATTGAGTTCGTAATAGTATGTTTAAGTTGTGCAAAGAAAATAAAATAAGCAACTAGTTGCCTTCTATAGTGGAAATTTATTGAAAGGGAGGGCTGATGCTGGTATGAGTATTATCTTATAAGGTATGTTTTTAGTACTAGTACAGTTAGTTGGTATTTGACAGTTATCGTAAGTATACTGGAAAGCTATCATATCGATATTTATGTCAAAATAATGAAGAAAATTTGGCGAAATTCAGTTATATTACCGTCGTTCACATTTTTAACCTCAGTTTATCGGTATCGAAGACATTTATTTTCGGCTTTACACGTGCGCAAGTAAGTGCTCAGGGGTTAAGTTCTTGCAGGGCGGTGTGGCCTTAATAAATGGTTATCGTGCTTTACAAATAAATTATCCACTTCTGAAGTCGTACGTCAATTGAATGGTTTGTTTAGCTACGCCCGAACCATTAAAAAATAAGCTGGATTTTAGCCTGAAAAGCTGCCTATAAATATTGGAGATTACTTTAATTTTCCTGAAATAATATTTTATAAACGAATTTTCAAATCAACCTGTATGTAAGTTACCTTTTATATTTCCAGATTTGGCAACCCTGGTGTTACAATTAGGCACCTCACAACCTTACGTAAAGTTTTACAATTTTGATGTTATAAATGCTACGAACGTTTTGACATACGAACGCTATCAAGGATTAGAGTTTATCGATGGTGGGGTGACTTCAATCGAAGTCGCAGGTCACTTCAAAACAAATACTGTTAAAATTTCGTGAAAGTCGTGTATAATCAGTTGTTTTCCTACGACCTGAGACCTAACGTGAGATTGAAACAACTAGGAATATGTTGTCAATTTTGCATGGATATTCGACTCAAAAAATTTGCTCACGTTGGATCCCACACAATTTGTCAATTTCTCAAAAAAAAATCACTTGCGTTCGTCCAGAGAAATTTTAAAGAATCCGTTTACGATACTATGACCACTTGGTAGGAGATTAATCGAGGATTTATATGTAAGTATGACACCGAAAGTAAAGAGCAGTTGGCTGTATGGTTGTTCGCAAGTGAGCATTACCCAACAAAAGTAGTTCGCGCACTAATCAAGCATATTGTTTCCAGTTCTCTTTCAAAAAATCAGAAAAAGAAAGCCCCGAGGAAGATAAATCTTCACCACGTCAATGCAAGCTCTCATACAACGTCTGAAACAACTGTATTTTTGAGCACTTAAAACAAAAATTTGGAGGACCATCCAGTGTATAGTCCTGATATGTGACCGAATGACTTTTTTTTATTTCTGTTCGTAAAAGATAAACTCTGAGATCAACGTTTTTCGACACCTGGCTCAAATGCATGTAAAAGTATAAAGATCTTATTGAATAATATCTTGAAAAACAGTAAATCAATTTCCAATGATTAATATTTCTTTTTGTTCTCTAATCCTGAAATATAAAAGGCAAGCAATATATTAACCTCGCTAAGTAGCTTACGCTTCGCAGCAGGAGATCTATTGCTCACCACACCTATTTTCCAATGAGTCCTTCCTTGGCATTTCTGCGGATCTTGATGAAGAGTCGTCTACAAGAAGACCTGCTTTCCGAGAATTTCAGTGTCCAGGGGAGGGGTTGCCACCTACCGCTTGGTGATGTAATTGGATAAAAGCTCGCTTAGAAAACTTTCCTATCACGAATTTCTTCGCAGCCGCGTCATGCCGTCAATCGCAGCTTCCTGCAGTATAGATCTCAGTTCGCGTCTCTGAAGTTATGAATCATATAAATGATTATTTAAGTCTTTCCGCATAACCATTTTCTGAGAGAATTTTTATGTGAATATTATACAAGATTTGCTTTCAGAGCCTAAAATTTCTCACTAAATTTGGTTATTATAATTTTTTTATTCAGTAAAACTGTAATCTAATTTCCTTTGCTTAAGTTTTTGAGTTATTTTTCGGCTCAATCGCGAGCAGTTTTAAGAAAAAATCTGTAAAATCTGTATAATGCACAATATAATTAGACTGCAAGATCATGAACAACAGTCATTAGCACACAATTAAAGATATATTTAATGGTTCGTTTATTGCAAAATTGATTAAAGATATATTAAGGCATTATTATTTGACAAAATTTAAGAATGAAATTATTTAAAGCTCTCATCTATTTATTATACTTAGATATAGTGTATAGTATTCACTATGTCCTTCTGTGGAGTTAATTGAGTTCGCACAGCGCTGCATTCAAAAACAATAAAAATAACTGTATTTTATTATTTTTCAAATAAATACTAAAAGCATTTTTGAAAATGTCTATGGTGTTTGCAGCTGTTTGCAAATGGCCAATTGTGTATATTCGTTTGTTTACTTATTTATTTACTTGTGKCATAAAGATTTTCATGTGGATGCAATTGATAGAAATAAAAATTTAAATTGCCTGCTAAAAGCGAGTCAATAATAGATTTCAGGCAGTGTGCATTTGGCGCGTAGTGCGAGTATTTGATACAAAAAAAATAAAAATAAAATAGCAAAAACAAACTAGAAAGATTTGCTTTAAGCATTTCTGCATAAAATATGACGATCCCGAAATTTTGTTTTAGAATGTTGAACTACGGGATTGGTTAAGCGATTTTATGACTTTCAGACTACAATGCATTATTGACACTTTTGTTCCATGCATTTCTGCATAAAAAATTACAATCCCGAATATTTAGTTTTTGAATTTCGGATTACGGGATTAGATACGGGATTTTGAGATTTCGGGGTTTTATGACATTCAGACAGTAATGCATTATTGCCACTTTTGTTCCATGCATTTCTGCATAATAAACATAAATAAATTTTCGTTACTGAATTAAAGTTCGGGATTTTAAAATTTCGAGATTTTATGACTTTAGGATAGTGGTATTTTTGCGTAATTTTTTTTTCATACAACCGGGGATCCCGAAATTTTATGTTTCGGGATTTTGTGTTTTCGGGATTAAGGTATGTTTTTGGTATATTTGTTGTATGCAATTCTGCACAGTAAATACCAATTCCAAGTTTTATGCTTCGGGATTTTTCAACTTTGTGTTTTTGGTATGTTTTCGGCATTTTTGCATAATAAATATCCATTCCAAGTTATAATAAAATACGATCTCGAAATTTAGGTGTTATAATTGTACTACTTCGGGATGGAGTGTATATTTGCTTGTATAATCTACTCTGAAACATTAGATAAGGGGGTAATACGCTGGAGTGCTGTTATAGACTGACTTTTTTGTGTTTTGTTTTTGATCCAGTAGGAATTGCAAATACGATAGTTAAAAAAAGTTTTCAATTTGGATGTTTCTAACCTCAATCCCGTTAGAGAAAGCCTCTAAATATTTAAATCGCTTACTAATACATACAAATTGGGCAATAGTGAAGCTGTAAGCATACGTTCAGCGCACTCAAAGGCCAATAGAGAGTGGGCCTTGGCGTATACGTAATATTATATTAAGTGTGGCTTCATGTAACATCATGCAACAAAAAAAAAAAAAAAAAAAAAAAAAAAAAAAAAAAAAAAAAAAAAAAAAAAAAAAAAAAAAAAAAAAAAAAAAAAAAAAAAGCGGATTAACACATAAAACGCTATGCTTGATAAAACAATTACAACAACAGCAGCGGTGACGACACAATTTCGCCATAAATAAAACAATAAAATCACATAAAAGCGCTGAAAATCGCAAATAAAAGATATTGGCAAAATACAAATTGATTTCGCATTGGCATTCACCGAAACACACACACACCCAACCATACATGCATGTATGCATCTGCTTATATAATCTGTGCGCGCCATTTGGCAGCGAGCATTCAGCGTTCAGCGAATTTTAACGCAGCGTGAAGTGGCCAATAGCCGGGCTACTCGGCTGACTGACTGGCTGGCTGCTAGAAGCTGCTGGTTGCTGTGGCGTGCGCCAAATTTATGGGATTAGCCGCAGTCAAGTGGAAATTTACATCTTTATTTGGCAAGCGCTTGGCGACTGTGTTGTCATGTCTCTTTGCAGGTTTTTGATTGTGTGTGTGTGTGTGTGTGAACCATGTATGTGTGCAGGCCTGCTGTGTTCAATATACCTACTAATTTTATTTGTGCGATAAAATCAATTGGCGCTAACGGCAACCACAATGGCGAATATATTGCAATCGAAATCAAATTTAGAACTAACAAAAATCCCTTTTTGGCTAACAAAGGTGTTTTGGTGAGAGGCAAAAAATAAAAAAAGCGAAAAAAATTTAAATATAAATAAGTTTCTTTGGCAAAAAATAAAACAATTTCGAAGTACACATATACATACATACATATGTAGGTGGCAGCAATTAGTCGCTTATATGTAAGTGCTTTTACTTTACCTGCTCAATGTGTTGCACGTTCAATATTTTGGCAATAAAGTTCGCTTGTGGCCGGTTGATTGCTCTGAATGAATATATTTTGCAGCCGCCTTTCAGTGTATTTGCTACCAGCGTGTCGAAATAGTTAATTATAATAAAATCGATTGTTAGGTTATATGAACTACTAATAAAATATTCAATGGAAAGGAAAAAAAATTAATTGAAATTTGTTAAGTAAAATTCAAACAAGGTAGAGCATACAAAGGAACTGGTGAGAAATAAATAGTTATAGCGATTTTGGTAAACACACAGAAGGTGGAAATTCATTGTATGAGGTATACGGAATCAGAGGAAACTACTGAAACGTTTTTATTAATTTGTAGTAGCACGACGAAATATTTTTCTGTATTTCGTACAAATATTGTAAAGAAATTTTTGGGGTAAAATAATTCATGAAAGGTTACTTAAATCGCCTAGTAAATGGTCATTGCAGTTATCTACCGTGTAATTCAAAAATAATAAAAAATAATTTATGTTTTGCACTGCGACATCTGGTCACAAAGGTCCAGCACACTGAGTGCGACTGAGCTGATGTGATCCCTGTCCACGTAGATGGATCCTAGGGTTTTGAGCTTATTTTTTATAGATTGCTGAGCAATCTAGAAAGGAGAAGGCC